GACCAAATTGGCTAAAGTCCCATAAACAGATGATTTCCAAGAATATATTTTTCTCTTCTTTTATATGTATACCTTGCCTAAATACACATAACCAGACTTCATGGCAACATTCCAGAATGAATTTTCAAATTTTGACTGAATTTTACAAGTTTTTTTACAGTACTGAAATTGGACCAAATTGGCTAAAGTCCCATAAACTGATGATTTCCAAGAATATAATTTTCTCTTCTTTTATATGTATACCTTGCCTAAATACACATAACCAGACTTCATGGCAACATCCCAGAATGAATTTTTAAATTTGGACTAAATTTTGAAGATTTTTTCACAGTAGTGAAATTGGACCAAATTGGCTAAAGTCCCATAAACTGATGATTTCCAAGAATATATTTTTCTCTTATTTTATATGTATACCTTGCCTAAATACACATAACCAGACTTAATGGCAACATCCCAGAATTAATTTTTAAATTTGGACTGAATTTTACAGATTTATTCCAAATTACTGAAATTGGACTAAATTGGCTAAAGTCCAATAATGAGGTGATTTCAAAGGATATAATTTTTATTCTTTTTTCTATTTGTTTCTTGCCTTAACATACATTGTAAGACTAAACTGCTTCATCAAAAAATGAAATTTCAATTTTTGACTTAATTTTGAAGATTTTTTCACAGTACTGAAATTGGACCAAATTGGCTAAAGTTCCATAAACTGATGATTTCAAAGGATATAATTTTCTCTTCTTTTATATGTATACCTTGCCTAAATACACATAACCAGACTAAACGGCAACATCCCAGATTGCATTTTCAAATTTTTACTGAATTTTAGAGATTTTTTCACAGTACTGAAATTGGACCAAATTGGCTAAAGTTCCATAAACTGATGATTTCAAAAGATATAATTTTCTCTTCTTTTATGTTTATACCTTGCCTAAATACACATAACCAGACTTAACGACAACATCCCAGAATGAATTTTCTGCATTACTGTGGGGAAACTTCTGAATGCAGACGAATCTGTTCTATTCACATGGAGAAACCTGAAATGAAAAAAATAAAGTATGTGATGCTAAAATCCCATAAATTGATGAGTCCAATGGATATTTTGTCTTTTTTAATACCAACTCCTCGCTTAAATACACATCATCAGACAGAACTGCAACATTTCAAATTGAATTTTTAAATTTTGACTGAATTTTAAAGATATTTTCCAAATTACTGAAACTGGACCAAATTGGCTAAAGTCCCATAAACTGAATATTTCAAGGGATATTATTTTTCCTTTTTTCCTATTCATTCGTTGCCTTAAAACACATCATGAGACATAACAGCTACATCACAGATTGAATTATCAAATTTGGACTGAATTTAAAAATATTTTCCAAATTTCTGAAATTGGATCAAATTGTCTAAAGTCCCATTAATTGGTGATATTAGGATATTATTTTTCCTTCTTTTATATATCCACGCCTAAATACACATCACCAGACAAAACAGCAACAACCGAGATTGAATTTTTAAATTTTGACTGAATTTTAAAAAGTGGACCAAATTGGCTCAAGTCCAATAATGAGATGATTTATAAAGGATATTATTTTTCTTTTTGCTACTTGCCTTAAAATACACCATCAGGCTAAACTGCTCCATCCTAAAATGAAATTTCAGATTTTGACTTCATTTTACAGGTTTTTCTAAAGTACTTGCTATTATATTGTTAAATATTGAATGATAGAAACGTTTTTTAAACTGAATGACGGTATATTTTTGTATTGTCACATCATTTATTTCATGAAGAAAAAAATTGAATCAATAAACGTAAGATCATTTTCAGCAGGTTGTGCTCAGTGATGATGAGTGGGGCTTACAAAAAAAAGCTGCTTTTTGAAAAAATAAATGTAACAGCGGTACTCTGGTCGTCTCAAAGATAAGGGAGTACTTGTTGGGTCAGAAGGGATTTATTTTCAATGGGCGTAGAGTGAGAACTTCACGATAGTCCGGATCTGCCCTAAAACATACATAATTTGATATAAATATCATGGGTATGGACAGTATAAAGGCACAAGATAACAACAATAATAATAATACATTTAGATCTATAGTTACTTACTTTTGGCATATATATTTGAACAAATCCTTCCAGATAAAACAAAGTACAGTCTATACATAGTTAATCATGCATACCTTGTCTCAGGGACGCAGGCTGGAACCTCCTTTATTGATGTACAGTGAATAGCCCTGCACAAATAAGTATACTACATATAGATATATTACATATCCACCGTTACACTAGTGTGTATGAAATACAAGCAAAATAAATTCTACAAAAGACTATACATATATACATGATACATATACATGTATCACTTCTAACCAGTTTATATCTATTTTATCAAATGTACACTTGGCTATTACCTCAGTCAAATACACAGTTAGGGTAAAAGGTAAAATAAATTCCTATGTGCACAAAATAAGTCAACAGCACAATATGTCTACTGAACTGTAAACAGTCACATGTCTAATGTCACACAAAAACATTGTTATTAACTCTGAACAGACAAGCTATGTTAGATCTACGTAGCTGAGGAAAATGACAATAGGACATTTCTTGGAAAATCTCTGATGTTTAGAATTTTCAATAGGACATTCCCATAGACTGCTGTATAATTTCTGCAAAATCAATGGGACATTTGTGACAATGGGTAGGCAAATATCCTAAAGATTGGACGATCTGTATCACTGGTAACGTTACTCGAAGGCTTGTTGCAAGCGAGATTTCGTACAGTTCAAACATCGTGACACTGAAAGGGCCTTGATCTAATCAGTGTGTGAGGACGCCTGGCGTGCTAAATAAGAAACAGACCTTTACTATCTGGTCATAAGTTTACAACATTCACAGGCTTCGTAGGACAGGTTAAAATCAAACAATGCGCTATTGAAAAAGCATAAACAAATATAGATCTACCTTATGCCAGACGGCTCCTTCGCATTATCAAGGGAGGTAACTCTTAATACGTTTTGCTGCCCACTATCAATGTTCTCTTTGCGACACATGAATGGTTTCATAGCTGGGTAATACTTTAGAATGTTGGAACATCATTGGCCCAACATTGTTGTATGTTTGTAAGAGTCTGATATCGCAAATAAAATTTATTCTACAATATTAACACGTAATTTCCATTTTTTTTCTTTGTTCGTCGAAAAACTTCTCACAGTTTTGTATCAACTGGTAAAGTGGCCCGCAGAAAGTGGGTTGAAATAAAATTGTGGATCGGTTAGTCAAAATGGGCCTAGTCAAAACGGGCCGTTACAGACGTGAGTGTATTTTGTGTGTCTGGGATGTTGTCTCGAGATTAGATATTTTATTTTTTCAGCTATAGCTACAAAATAAGATTTTTTATATTTTAAATTTATGAGCCTGAATTTGTTTTAAAGAAATACACTTTGCAACAATGTAATTTTGGTGGCAGGCAATTTCTTTCTTTTTTTCTCAACAGTCTGAAGCATAATTTATTTATTTTCAAGAATTTTCGGGGACAATATATTTTTGGATAAAATCCCAGCCTCTCTGGTCGGTCCCATAGAAGTTGGAAGGACATGAATATGTCACCTATTCTGAATAACAACAACTTGAATTTCATTCACGGTGACGCCGATATATATATGTGTGTGTGTGTGTGTGTGTCACTGCTTGTACTAGCCCGGACTCATGCCAATTTAAAGTGTTATAGCCCACTGACAAACCATGCCACAGTTTAACATGAATACCCCATTCAGGTACAGTATACCGACTCCGAGCCGACCAGTCCTTCATTTAGCTTCTTAATGCTGAGCGTCAGGCAGGGTAACAAGTACAATCTTTTAACGCCTTTTGGTGCGGCGCGGCCTTGGAGGCGAGGATCTTAAGCAATTAACCACTGATTTGTCTGATCGATACACATTTCCATACCACCGTGATATATATTTAGATTATATAAATTCAGCATTGTCCGTGTGTCCTTATACAAACGCTTATAGTCTATAAATATATAATTTTGATAGAAACGAACAGCGCCATTACAATTGAAAAAGAGACCCAGTGAGATGGGAAATTCCGACCTAAATCTGAAAAAAGTATCACCGTAAGGGTTGGCGCAAGGGGGAAAAATATGGTTCTTGGATTGTGAGACGAACTAATTTGCCCTCGATGACCATAACCGAAGCGCTGCAAAGATCCAGCGGATCCGAACGATAAGATTCGGATCGGATATGTTTTCCTCAGGATATCTGCGCAATTTCCCAGTGCAAGCATTGGCCTATTCAAATCAACGGGATTGTCTATTATTTGAAAGCCGCGCGAAATTCTGTACATTTTGCAAGAACACCGTGTATCTATATTTACGTATTTGCGGATGTAATCGCTGTTTAAGTAATGACTTAAGTAATAAATTCTGGGACTCATATTTATGGCTACATAGATTCAGATTTGTGTGTGTGTGTGTGTGTGTGTGTTTGTCTGTGCGTGGTCGTGCGTGCGTGCGTGCGTGTGTGTGACGCTCTGAGCAAGCCGGCACAGACATAGCAGACGACTCTCTCTCCTGTCCAACAAGTGAGTCAAACATGTCTCGAATGTCTCTCATGACATGATAAGTATTTATAAAACCACACTAATCACTATAGAGATCCCTGTGTTGTTGGTTTTCGGACGCTTAAGAATCAGTCGTAGCTAGTTTTCTCTCCAACCACATGAACAGTTGTAAAACATCTAATTCGCTCATGAAAGACAACTTCCTCTTAAAAACAAGCCATCATCTAAGTATTTACAATTTCTATGTGATGCTACACCCCCGTTTGTCCCATCGTGTTATAGATAGATCTTCTTGCAGGTTACGGAGAATGGGCCGTCTTGCAGCATTCGTCAACACTCAAACCTTCTCGAAACACACATTCGTGTTGTCCCGAAATGTAACGAATGAGGGAACGCTACTCGTGTATCTCCGTACATATTTACGATTCCATGCGAATAGTGTCGAAATCAAAACCCGGAAGTCTTGTGTGACCCGGAAGTAAAGGATCTTTGTTGACATGTTTGTTGACATGTGGCAGTTTTCGATCTACGGACGTCTTTCACAACATTGACAACAAGGTGTGCATATAGGTTTCCATGTGTTTATAGCTTGTACCACACAGGTTTACTGAGTACATTCAAATACGTATATCATATACTATATGATACACTAAAACTACAGTGGTAATTTGAACAATACAACGAGCTACATATGTACGCAATGCATCAGCTACTGTCAGTGTCATCTGTCAGTGACACAATGCAATACTGGGAGCCCAATATTCTCATGCCGAAGGACTTAGGTGAATGAAGCCACTAGTTCCATTCAAGGGTCCATGAGAGCAGGATAGAGTAAGGGGAAAACTACCTCAGGTCTTCACCCTAGCTAACAACTATAATCCTAAGGATAACAATAAATATGTATTAGATCTATGTGTGAGTGAATATGTTTCATGCAATGTCATATTTCTTGAGATCCAGTTTTTATGTTGCTATTGGCAATATATGAGAAAATGAATTGTCTATATTACCTCCAGCTACATCGGAGAGTCGCATAAACAGTGATAAACATTCAAACATACATTGTATAAGTAATTAGATGAACATCACAATTGCTCAAAAGATCACGTAGTGCCATTCATTAATAATCTTAACATGCAATGTTCTCACTAAACATCCCAAACTGTTCAAATGTAGCTGTTTTTTCCAAGTAAACATGGTAAACATCACGTCACATATTCAGACTAAGTTATATACTGTTTTCTCAGTGACCATCCCAATTCATTCTATTCAAACATCACTGTCTTAATTATTATTTGATGGTCCCTCCCACAAATGATGCAAACAAACATCCTGTTGATTTTATTTGGCTTAACGAACCACTAAGGCACTGGTTCCACTGGTTCATTGACATTACTTAAAGGGAAACAACACTCCAACTTTCCATGCTTTCAATTGTCTACCATTTCAATTAACCGGCATAATCACCAGAAGCCAATTAACGCCAGCGACCGAACAAACTGGGCTTCTGACCAGCGAGGGACCAACTGGAAAACTCATTGACAGCGAGGGAAATCCCCTTGAATCTTCGCATTTGAGTGGATGATGCTTACTATAACTTTTTACCTTGCAAATTTTAATGAAATTTAGTTCATATACTCAACACCAACAATCCTTATTTTTCAGGCAAATTGCATATAATCAATACGTTGATTGATAAATCATGTTAATCACTGTTAATTTGTGGATTCGTCAAAAGTAAGTGTTTTATACGTAGGTTTACTAAAGCAGATGGAATACACCCGTATATAGGCGTGAAGTGCCATCATACTTTGTTCAATGCGTTAGCCGATAATACGTTGATTGATTGCTCATTGTGATCTAACTCCATGGATTTAAAAAAAAAATGTGGACATCATGAACAAAGTTGTCACGTGTGCCATCTCAGCTTGACACCTATGTGAAACACCTGAAACAAACTTACATGATCAGTGGAGAAATGGACATGGGTCTTAATATCCCGAAACTCTATATGTATCTTAAATATTAGATGTATGGACTATTGTTCCTGTGTCATGTTGATGTGGATATCTGTGGATACATTCCTCAAACAAGGTAACTGCCTGATATCATACATGTAACATTTGTCGGTTGTAATTATTATATTTGCATTTTGTTTTAATTCATTTGCTGTAGCAAGAACGTGGGATGTCTAAATGGTGACGGATAAAGTTGTTCCATACATAGAACCTACCCGGCAATAGCAGTCATTTGTTCCAAAGTGCTACGCTTATGGTTATTATCATTTTAAATATATCAAATAAAAGCTGCAACCCAAAAAGCTCAATGTAGGATATTTTATATCTGATAAAATAATAGTTTCAGATACTATTCATCCTGTTCATCCGATCATTGCATCAAAAGTCTTTAAAGTTTGAATCCGCGAAGAAAAGGGTGATGCATATTTCAATAGCTTCAAAGTTGGGAGAGTTGTTTCCCTTCAACTAGCAAGGCTCACTCAAGGGTATATTATCTATTAACCTAGCTGATATGAATATGCAAAATGAAAAAGAATATAAATTCTGTAGGTAAATTATACTAAATTATTGTCATAAACACAAAGATAAAAGCATCCTGATTTATCTCCCTTTGATGAGGATGATAATGGTGCCCACTGTGTGCTAAAAATGTACAATTTCACATGAGTGGCATCTATCTTGTCTTGCAAAATAAGAGAAACCATAAAAGCGTATTTTGTAATGTCTTGTTTCAGCAACTTGTGTTATTGTTTACATACTGTTTGATGGTATTGTTGTATTGTTTGTTGTTTAACGCCATACTCAGCAATATTCCATCTATATGACAGCTGTCTGTAGATAATCGTTTCAGGCCACTGTTGTAGTCAGTGTATTGATGCAGTGTATGCAGGCAAGTGCACAAATATGCACCTCAAACATGGACTCTCTACCGCCACCAAAATGCATTCTTACTTTTGCTGCTGGTTACCATGGTGACTAAATTTATTTGGTTAAAATAGGCCTACATCCTGGTAGCACAATACACTTAGACCAATCTCATAAAAATCAGATCTCAGTTGTCACTGCAAAGTTGAACCTTAGTTCGTATTTTTAGGGATTTGATATTAGATTTTGGTCCTAGGTATGCCGCAGCATTGCAACGATGATCGTTGCCATATGGTGTTTAATATCGATTTAAATATTGATCCAGTGAGGGAGTATACTGTGTGTTGTCAAGCCAGCTGGCATAAAGGATCAGGAGTGGTGTGTCATCAGCACAAACATATTTTACTAAACATATTTTTCCTAAACTTCTGCTGACAGGCTTGCAGTGTTGACGTGGTAAGTGAGCTCAATTTGCTTCAGGTCATTAAAAAGGAATTTTAGTTTAGTCACTTCATGCAGTCAGATAACTAAGCGTAATGGTTCTATTGGGGGTCTTTCGTATATCCCAGGTCCCTCAGACAGAGTGCTGCAGCACTGTGTGTGAAGGAGAAAGATTCTCGCTAATCTACTACTGTCAGAAACAGTATAGGTTACACATAACCAAATGTTTTCCTATCGACTTCTATAGAAACATTATATTTTTTTTTAAATAATTAAGCATTCAACAGCTATTATCTGTACGTTTGTGCACAGTTTGGCCTTAGAGCAGCAATAAAAACAAAAAAAATGACTAGCTTAGATAGCTCCTGTTCCGAGTACCGGAAGCTAAACACACCACCCCCATTTCGGCACCAAATGTCACCTACTTGAAAATATCTGTGGTCACATTCAGCATAAGTCATCATGTTGAAAAAAACTACTAAATATAGAAAAACATGATCAGTTTTAATAACTGGATGGATGTACATTTTAAAGACATACAAATCTTACGCAATATCATCCAATCACAGCCTGCAGATACCTCTCGATCAACACTGACGCTCCCTACGAAAACGGCACTGATAAACTGGCTCTGATTTGGTTTAGTAAAACCTGTAGTAGCAAGGCACTGTTTGGAGTCAAGCTCTTCCCGATGTAGTGGTCGATAGCTTGAACAACAAGCCATGTAATGTCAGTGGGAACACAACACCGACCATCCAATCCCCATTTTCAGCTTCTGATCTGAGTGCTGGTTCACTGAATATACCACTTAGATTGCTCAAGTAATTCAACATGCTTGTACTTCTGGGTTTTAGACAGTGCAAAACTTTATGCAAAACACTTTGGATATACAATCGCTGTGTGCACATAACACCATAGCTGTAGAGAGAACAAAGCCTATCTGTGGCTGTGTGTACATACACTCTGTACTATAACTGTATGTAAAACACTATGGCTGTACCATCACTGTACATACACTCTGTAGTATAACTGTATGTAAAACACTATGGCTGTACCATCACTTTACATACACTCTGTACTATAACTGTATGTAAAACACTATGGCTGTACCATCACTGTACATACACTCTGTACTATAACTGTATGTAAAACACTCTGGTACTATGTACAGAAAACTATGGCTTCACTATCAATGTGTAGAGAGCACACTATAGCCCATGTGTGTCTGCATTTAATCACAGTATGTTAATGTCCTTTCTAGGTTAATGCATTGACTGTCGCCAGTTGCACTATGAGCCCTAGTGGGATCCAGGTGAACAAGCTCTGCATCGTGCTAATCGCAGGAGTGTTTGCGGGCGTGCTGGTTATCTACCGCTTGTGGCCTGGAGACTCCAGTAAGGGGGACACCAAGCTGACTGAGCCAGTAGAAGAACAGAAGATGGCAGCGGGGAAGGAGGAGTCGAAGGCGGCGTCCTGGTACACCGAGTTTGTTGACATCCCAGCAGACCTCCTCAGTGGTGGTGGTGATGACCAAGTGAAGGAGGTCGTAGTCCAGGTCACGTTGAATGGCAAGGTGAGGATGACATTTAGTTTATCTAGCTTCCCGAGGTCAGGCCAGCTGAGATTAATGGTAGTGTATGTTGTCCCTGTAGGAGTGAGTGCTTCAGGGTGTGGTGTATTCATTATGTTATTTGTCAGACCCGCACATTGGAGGAACATCAAATCTTCAATACATAACAAAACCGTAGTTGGCTCAATCACTGTTTAATGTAGAACTGACGCTGCCTCACACAGCTGCCTAGGTTACAACAACATAATGACGTCACACCTAAAGTGACGTCACTGCACGTGCGCATTGGCACACTTACAATGTAAACATACCTAACATGCACAACATTTCTCCCCCTTAAAAGAAATTACTTTCTACTTCTCTAACCAATACATTTACAATATTCAGAACACAGTACTATGAGATATTTTCTAAAGTTATAATTTAACAATGTTACAACTTTCAACCACAAATGATAAAAAACTCATATATATATGATGTCTGCTACACATTGCTGAATACTTTATTCAATGACTTAATTGTCAAAACTGTCAGTTTCTACATTGTGTTCTCACAGGGTTAGTCTATCGGGAGGTTTTCTCACTCTTTCTGAACGTCTCACGGTTTGTTTTGCTGGTACATTTGCAATTGTCACCTCACTGTCTTCACACTGGTGTTCATCACATTGCTGTGATGCACTAGGTATTACGATAGGGTCGCCTTTGTTGACCCTGATACTTTCTACATTCCCTGCATTACAGTCACTTTGAACCATCATGTTCTCGTTACCATGGTTACTAGTTGCATCTCTACACCTTAATTGATCAATATGACGCTTGACAGTTCTATTGCCAATGTCAACATCATAATGTCTTTCACCACATTTTGTCATCACCTTGCCAGCAGTCCATTTGTCTTCTTTGTTGTACTCACGCACCCACACCTTATCATTGTCATTTAGCTGTCTTGTGTCGCCAGGTTGACACAATGTAGAAGACGGTAAACCCGGAGACTCTTCGTTCATTTGTCATTAGCATCGAAATATAAACTCACTCTTTCAGAATATGACATCCAATCTTCTAAACTTTCATCGAACTGTCCAACATCTCCAATGACGCCTGCCATTATGGAAAAGCACTGAATGTAATCACGTATAGAAAGTTTTATCCTCGTCGCCACTGTTGTGTATGTATTATGTTATTTGTCCGACCCGCACATTGGAGGAACATCAAATCTTCAATACATAACAAAACCGTAGTTGGCTCAATCACTGTTTAATGTAGAACTGACACTGCTTCACACAGCTGCCTAGGTTACAACAACATAATGACGTCACACCTAAAGTGACGTCACTGCACGTGCGCATTGGCGCACTTACAATGTAAACATACCTAACATGCACAACACAGGGGAAAGAAGGGGGACTATATTTCATGTACATTGATTTTGTTTTTAACATGTTCAAACCTACATTAAAAGCTATTTCTCTGTTGAATGTGTTTCAACTTTGTCTCAGAGTATGACCCAAGTACTCCATGGATCCAAGGCTGTTGGACCGCCTCCGTGTTCTAGTGGTAGAGCGTCTGCCCAAGAGCTGAAGGTCAGGGGTTCGATCCCTGGCCACATTATACCAAAAGACGTTAAAAGATGGTACTTACTGTTAACCCTGCCTGGCACTTGGCATTAAGGGGTTTTGGCTCGACTTGGAGTCAGTATACTGTGTCTGTGTGGGTGTTCATGTTAAACTGTCATTTGGTATCACGGTGGGATAGCACTATAAAATCGGCATTAGTCCGGACTAGTACAAGCAGTCATGCAGTCACGCATGCAGGCAGGCATGCATGCAATATAAGTGCAAAAATCTTGAATGCGACATTTAACCCCATTTTACCTCCCCCCAAGGCTGAGATGAACATGGCAGACGGCATGGTTTAACCTCATTGGACAGGCAGCTTGTAGGGGATGAACAGACACTGTTTTGAGAGTCTGTGTTTGCATATAGAAGTAAAATGTAAACATGACAAGGAGTATTATTGACAACAACTTCTGGATCATACAACCACATTTCAGGGCTACTGTGTTGTTTTGACAAGAGTGGGCACATCCCAGGTGGCTGGATGGTGAGCCCATCAAAGCCATCACTAATAGGCACAGCTGAAAACAGCTCACTACACACCACTTACGTATAAATAGTTCTGGTACATGTATATGATATATTTAAGCTTTTAAGGTTATTGATAACTGTTTATTACATTTAAATGATCCCTCATCAGTGTCATATTGCCTTCAAGAATTTCACCACTGCACTGTCAGTAGGCTGTATTAGTGATTATTGAGTTTATTCAGTATTCTTAGGACTTGTCCCAGCCCTGCTGCCAATGACTTCATCACTATGTACGGGTCACATTTAGTTGGGCTGTGAATGTATTTCTAATTGCATATTATCTTATTTTCCAATTTGTTCCACATTAACACTGTACGGGAACATCATTCCTAAACACACCCAAATATTGGTTTCTGTCAACCAGAACTTTTCATTACAGGGTACATTTTTACTGCAACCTCGTGTATTTAATCTTGAACTTTTTACTGGGTCAGAACTAGATTACAAATGGATTTCATGGGGGCCATATCAAACTATAGTAGCTGACACACAGCAGCTGACACTGATATACATGTATAATATTACTTCATAGGCATGAAATACACACACAGACAAGTGAAACTGACAATATGCATATGACAATATCTTGGAAAATGATACAGTCGTAATACAAATGAACAAAACTGAAAAGAAAACATAGAATATGGTGAGAAGGAAGGCATGAAAGAAGTCCCGACAGTTAGTTAAGGATAAAGGCAAATGTGAAAACACGTAACTATGATAGAAACGGATAGAATGCAGAACCCCAAACGCAGCTGAAGTCAGAAATATTGCTGCATGAGAATTCCATGAAATGGCTGTGTTTGTTTGTTTGTTTGTTGTTTAACGCTGCACTCAGCAATATTCCAGCTATATGGCGAGGGTCTGTAAATAATCGAGTCTGGACCAGACAATCCAGTGATTGATATCATGAGCATCGCCATGCAATTGCATGAACCAAGTCAGCGAGCCTGACCACCCTGTCCCATTAGTCGCCTCTTACGACAAGCATAGTTGCCTTTTACGGCAAGCATGGGTTGCTGAAGACCTATCTACCCCGGATCTTCACGGGTCTAACGTCAAGGAGACAAGTAGATTAAACAAAAGAGTAGTCATCAGTAGATACTATGGATATTTTCAAAGATTTTGATGTACTGAATTTTGTCTAATTTCATCTTTACCATGGTAACAGAGATATATTAAAAGACATTTTTTAACATGTTTAAAGAATTTGTTTTTTTCAAAATTTAATGGAAAATTGTTCATGCTCAAAATTCATGTATCATTTCTCTCTTTTCTCACACACACACACACACACACACACACACACACAAACACAAACACAAAAACACCCCATTTTCAATATAGCCCCTTAAAAAATCCCTCTAGTAGGCACTTGACAGTATCACAAGACAGTTTTACAGATGTGTATGAAAGTGACTGTATATCCAGACACATTTCAGTGTGACAGGAACCAAAACTTGACGCGATATGCACCTCCAAAGGAACAATGTTGGTAGTAAAAGTTACGCCGGAACACATGGAACCAAATCTTATTTAAGTATTGTTCTACCAATCACTGAGCTTCACTGCACTAGTCATGCTAGTAGTTTTTAATAAAAGTGTCTGCATATTGAGGTCACCTTGACCATGCTGTACCGGTCTGTCCTACTTTAGGGACAGGACGTCAACCGTTCTGAAGTTTTGTTTGTAAGCATTAGCCAGTAACCCCCAATCTTACTCGACTCTTCTCGCCTTATTCTGTGACAGAAGGTTCTGCTCCAGTGACCACACCATGGGCGTAGTCATATCACGTGACTTTTCTCTTGTACTTATTCTGAAATATGAAGACAGGCCTAATGCAAGCCTTTCGGTACCCTTTACGTACTGTTTTGCATAATTATCAAGACATACCACTTCAACAGTGACAGTGAGGTGCATGACAATATAAGAAGGAGAATATATGGATGTCAACTTCTTAATTATTTCTATAATAAAGAAGTAGATATTCATATATTCTCTTCCTTATGTGTATCACTTCTAAATGCCTTTCAAAGACCCCATGACAATATAGCTTTACATATCAAAGTGATCATATAGCTAGCTCTCTGAAGGGCTTCAATGACAACTCATGGAGGATATGTACTCAAATGGTAACAGTTTTTCATGTTTTATGATATTTTCTCAATGAAAGTTATGTTTTTCTAAATTTGTAGATTCTTTCAAAATGAAACAGATGAAAAACACATGAATGGACTGTGTAGGATGTGACATTTCACTTGAATTGGCCTGTAATGATACAAATCACTAAGGCCAGTTTACTCTGCGCAGCACCTGCCTTGTCACTACACTGTGCAGACTTCTGTTGTCGGGCATGAGACGTCACTCTCAGAAATAACACACAGAACTGTTGATGTACTGTCCCTGTGAAGCTGGAGGATACTGGCTGCATGGTGATGCAACACTTAGGGATCCTGATATGTTATTATAAAGCTTTTGTTTATTCATGTCAGGTTGTAGTTATTTTGTAACAGTAGTTATATTTCATTTGTACAAGATGGCCTGTCTGTTGATGACCAGGCATAGGCAATACTGGAGTTTAGTTTTCAGTCCCACACAATTTCTGCGATTTTGCTATCGCAGAAAAATGTGCAGAAAATGTAACTAAGTGCTAATAAGGGAAATAGTTGTTTTTACCACAGAATTTTGTAATTTTAGCTGCACACTTTTGGCAAGCTTTGTATACATATCATGCATGTGCTCAACTGTTGACATTTTTTAAGATTTCTTTTGTTTTTTAGTTTCCATATCTACAGGCAGGACTAAGGCTCAAATTAGGGTAGGGTTGTAATCTGGAGAGTAACTCATAAATGTTAATGTTTCTTTGTGAGACTTTGTATGCATAACTGAAGTCTTTGGGTGAATATTTTATGTCTTGGGTTTTTGTACAAATGAGGGTAGGAATTGTTTCAGATCCTCTACTTCACGAGGCTTGATGGAACAGGAATTTAATAATTTAGCTTCTTCATTAACAATTAGGATGGTTTGTGAAGTCTTCATGTGTTATTGTGTACAGTTACCCTTGATTTCAGTCACTGAAAATATTCACAAGGCAAGCAAACCCCAAAGGAAGTGAAACACATCTTGATGTTCTGTTTCTTCATGGCCAAGCCTTCACTTCCAAAAACTGGTTGGATATTGGCACCCTCAACCTGGTGGCGAGATGTGGCCATCGAGCAGTGGCTGTCGACTTACCAGGTAGGCAGGAGGCAGCAGTGATACAGGGGAGGTCAGTGGCTGTAGACTGATGGTAGGCAGGAGGAACAGTGGTACAGGGGAGGTCAGTGGCTGTAGACTGATGGTGGCAGGAGGAACAGTGATACAGGGGAGGTCAGTGGCTGTAGAATGATGGGTGGCAGGAGGAACAGTGATACAGGGGAGGTCAGTGGCTGTAGAATGATGGTGGGCAGGAGGAACAGTGGTACAGGGGAGGTCAGTGGCTGTAGAATGATGGTGGGCAGGAGGAACAGTGGTACAGGGGAGGTCAGTGGCTGTAGAATGATGGTGGGCAGGAGGCAGCAGTTGTACAGGGGAGGTCAGTGGCTGTAGAGTGATGGTAGGCAGGAGGAACAGTGGTACAGGGGAGGTCAGTGGCTGTAGAATGATGGTGGGCAGGAGGCAGCAGTGGTACAGGGGAGGTCAGTGGCTGTAGACTGATGGTAGGCAGTAGAAAGCAGTGGTACAGGGGAGGTCAGTGGCTGTAGACTGATGGTAGGCAGTAGAAAGCAGTGGTACAGGGGAGGTCAGTGGCTGTAGACTGATTGAAAGTAGGAGGAAACAGTGGTACGGGTGTGGCAAGTGGCTGTAGATTTACCAGGTAGGCAGGAGTGTGTACAGTAATAAGTATTGTTAATGTGTGACCGCCATTCCAGCATTCCAGGGGATCGATAAGAGTGAGCATGTTTGAGTAAATTTACAATGGTGAAAACTTTTTCCAGTTTCAAATGTTTCTTTGCAGGCTATGGAAAAACTACAGATGGCGTTGATAGCCCCTCAAAAGGAGCTTTTATTGGTGCGTTGGTTAAAGCCTTGAAGATGACCCGTCCCGTGGTGGTCAGCCCCTCAATGAGTGGCAGCTTCTCCCTGCCATTTCTGTTTGACCAGCCGGAGACAGCTGAAGACAGGAGTCGTGGATACCTACCTGTTGCACCGGTGGCCACAAGTACATACACCCAGGTGTACAGTAAGAGCAAGGTCAGTGAAACCCATTGTCCTATACCCAGGAAACCTTTCTGTGAATCCATATCGGTGCCTGGACATTTCACAGTCTCTCCTACATCACAAATAAGAAAGAAATTACACCCTTCAATTTTATATTATTTTTTTCAAATAAGTTTGATGGTATCATTTAACATTTTTATAAATGTGACAGGAAAGTTAAATATTGGATTGATTTATATGTGAAGAAAGGCACCGTATTCATCCTGGCGACATCTCGCACTATGAGGAAACATTTACATAGAGGGGAATGTCTAATTACCTTGGTATTCCTTGAGAATTACAAAGACAGGACCCATTATTATTAAGGATTTGAGAGTTACAAGGATATTCCCCTCCTGAAAACACATCCCTACTTTCACACTTTGACAAAACATTCTTTTGTGGATAATCTATAAAAAGGAAACCAGAACTCTCTGTAGCCTGTTTGTTTGATTGTTGTTTAACGCTGCACTGAGCAATATTCCAGCTATATGACAGTGGTCTGTAAAGACTCGAGTCTCAACCAGACAATCCAGTGATCGATCCACACAATTGGGATGAATGACATGTATCAACTGAGTCAGCGAGCCTGACCACCCGACCCCTTTAGTCGCCTCTTACGACAAGCATAGTTGCCTTTTACGGCATGTATGGGTTGCTGAAGAACTATTCTACCCCGGATCTTGACGGGTTCTCTGTAGCCTGTGTATAACCTGTGTGAGTCACCCTTGGGTGATGCACTTGGAAAGCTCAGCACCAAGCTCAGCTGCTAGCTAGCTGATCTTTACAATGCATGGTACAGGGTCCTCTACAGTTTCATGGGGTATTCATAAGTATCTCATCAGTTGCTTGCATGTTTTAAAAACATGCTGATGGGGACTATATGAAATATAGAGCCCTGAACAAGGACTTATATCTTTATCCGATTTTTAGTTTTCTCGTCAAAAGTTTATCTAACTGCATTGATATGAGACTCATTCTCAAGGTTTTGCATTAACATTGTCTTAGGTAATAGGATGTAACGCAATGTTATACAAATTATTTTCTTAGCTATTAAGGATTATATAAATATTTTATAGTTAATTTCACACCATACTTTCAATCTGTCACTATCGCCTAGGTCAACTATTACACATCCTCAAATCATATGATGTAGGTTCGAGCCCCACTGGTGACATGTTTTCCGTTATAATTTGAAATAATTCACTTGAGTGTCAACATAAATAATAGTTCCATCTATTCGAATTGTATTTTAATTGAAATGCTGATTCCAGATAATGAATATGTTGACACCAAACTGTCCATTCCTGAAAAACAATGGCGAGTCCAAACACTGGAATGACGTCACAGATGTGTCTCAAGTTACTCAGTATCACTTGTCCCTTTGAATGTTGGTGATAGGAAGTCTGAATTACTTATAATATTATGTTTTTTCTATGAATAGATTGAGTTGGTATACCTATCCTATTGTTTATTCACCAAAGATGTACTTTCAGCAAAAGCATTCTGAAGTAGTATGTTTTTTTACATTTGCCTGAGGCAAGGGCGTTAACTGACTATAAAATTCCAGTTTCCACCCTTGCCGAATTAGCTTGAAATTTCCACACTTGATTGTAGTGCCACCAATGGCTTTTGCGAGTTATGTCCCTTCTATGTCCCTCCTATTGGTCAGATTCCACCTCTCGATCACCAAGGAGTGCTTCACATTCAGAACTATCTTGTGGGCTGGAGGTTAACATAAAATTGTTGATACCAGTTTGAATATTTAAGCTAGAAGTAGCATGTTCAACACATATGTGACTGTTGAAATGCCAGCGTCCTCAATTCCTGTTGTAAAGGTTACATTTGTGGCCTTATGAAAAAATATGCCAACAGCATAATGACCTATACCGAAATGTCGCCTTTTACAGTATATAAAGAAGTTGTTATCCATAAATTATCTCTACTTTGTCATGTGTCAACTCCTAAGTAATCCCAATCAAACAATTTTCTCCTCACTTTGTTTAAGAAGAGCAAACCCAACTCATTGAGCCTCTTACACTGTCCTAACCATCTACATAAATTTAAACCATGTGGTCAAATGGAGGCCGACAGGCACTGGTGCTCTACATGGTCCTGCTATGCAGTGTGGGTGATATGGCAGGAGGTATCGTATTACCTCATTTTGATGGTATCTCCACATTTTGCCTAGGACTAGTGTAGTACAGTGTGTTAGACCTAATGTCACATACAGCAGTTGTTTCAATATCATTCTGTCTGATTTCAGATTCCAACCATGATAGTTTATGGTGAAAAAGATGAATCTTTAGGAGCAACAAGCCTAAAAAACCTGATCAAACTTCCTAACAGCAAGCCGTTTGTTGTCCCCGATGCAGGACACCCAGCCTACATCAACAACCCAACATTCTTCCACAGACTGCTGTACAATTTCCTAAAGATTATTGCTGCTCACAAGTGAACAATGTAATCATGAGGGAATGGTCTTATGTTTTGTTAAAGTGTGAATTGAATATATGAGACAGGGAGGGGACAAGACTCAGGCATAGATACAAGCATACATGCACCGGCATACTTCCAAGCATACATGCACAGGCATACTTCCAAGCATACATGCACAAGCATACTTCCAAGCATACATGCACAGGCATACTTCCAAACATACATGCACAGGCATACTTCCAAACATACATGCACAGGCATACTTCCAAGCATACATGCACAGGCATACTTCCAAGCATACATGCACTGGCATACTTCCAAGCATACATGCACAGGCATACTTCCAAGCATACATGCACAGGCATACTTCCAAGCATACATGCACAGGCATACTTCCAAACATACATGCACAGGCATACTTCCAAGCATACATGCACCGGCATACTTCCAAGCATACATGCACAGGCATACTTCCAAACATACATGCACAGGCATACTTCCAAGCATACATGCACCGGCATACTTCCAAGCATACATGCACAGGCATACTTCCAAGCATACATGCACAAGCATACTTCCAAGCATACATGCACAGGCATACTTCCAAGCATACATGCACAGGCATACTTCCAAGCATACATGCACAGGCATACTTCCAAGCATACATGCACCGGCATACTTCCAAGCATACATGCACAGGCATACTTACAGGCATACCCGCACAGGCATACTTCCAAGCATACATGCACAGGCATACTTCCAAGCATACATGCACCGGCATACTTCCAAGCATACATGCACAGGCATACTTCCAAGCATACATGCACAGGCATACTTCCAAGCATACATGCACCGGCATACTTCCAAGCATACATGCACAGGCATACTTCCAAGCATACATGCACAGGTATACATACATAGCAGACTTAACAGGCACAGCTGCACAGGCGTACCTACATAGGCACATTTATGTAGGCATACCTGCACAGGCACTTTTATGTAGGCATGCCTGTACAGGTATATTTACGTAGGCATACCCTCACAGGCACATTTACGTAGGCATACCTGCACAGGCACATTTACATAAGCATACCTGCACACACATTTACGTAGGCATACCTGCACACACATTTACGTAGGCGTACCTGCACACACATTTATGTAGGCGTACCTGTACAGGCACAATTATGTAGGCATACTTGCACAGGCACATTTACGTAGGCATACCTGCACAGGCACATTTACGTAGGCAGATTTACGTAGGCATACCTGCACAGGTACATTTACGTAGGCACAACTGATTACCTGCACAGGAATATTTACACAGACAACCTGCACGGGAACATTTGGGATCACTGTCTCTTGATCCTTTCAAGAAGAGATTGGTCTGGGTCTGGGTCTACGAGTATGCTTGAACCAAATCCCTGTTTAGGGGAAATATGAGTTATTTGCACCTAGTTTTATTCAGAAGGTTAGCAAACATGGTAAGAGGTGGTAAGGTCGGATTATTTGTTGTTGATCATTTTGTGGTTGTTTACTGGGGAATATGAGTGTATGTTGGATCTCTTTCTTCTTCTTATCAATGAATCCAGTAGAAAGTTGTACAGCTTGTACTGAGAGGTGTTTGGGCCAGTCACGCTACTGGAAGCACAACATATTGGCTGGGCCTTGTGGAAAGAAATTCAATAATCAAATCCCAGACTTGTGTGCGTTCACAGGTTTACAATGTTTCTTCTGTTTTATTGAACATTTTAATCACCTTTAATTTATGTTTTTGTCAGTTGATATTGTATTAAGAGTGACAAATAATGTTCCTATTTATTTTGGTATCTTCATTATGATTCAGACAGTCATAAATACTGTTATTTATTTCATTTACTGTTTCGTAAATCCACATACATAACTGCTTGTAGTGTGAAAGATTGGTTTGTGTATGCTGTAGAGCCCTACACTGGACACAGTCAAGTCTGCTGCAGTAGCTCAAGTTTGACACATGGTGTTTGTCTCCTCAGCTGTGTGATACGATGTACCTGCAGACAACAGTAACCATGGTAACATGATCATGTTCTTGTTTACCACATTGGGAGGTTTAACAATCACCTAACCTCTCTCTTCATGTAAGGATGTTGTGTATTCTGGGCTTAATCTGGGCTTCATCATGGCAATGACATTGGAAATATTTTAAATTATTTTAGATTACAAATTACATAAAACTCTGCTAAGCTAATTCTGTTTCCTATATTCAAGTTATGGCTTTGTATCCGGTTCTTCTCTTTCCTTGTTACCTCTGAGTTCTAGTGGATAGAATGTCTGCCTGGACAGCTGATAGTCCAGGGTGCGATCCCCGGCAGCATCATAGATCTTTAAAGATGGTAGTTGTTGTTACCCTGCCTGGCGCTAGGCAATCGGTGGATAAAACAAGGATTGGTCAGCTCAGAGTCAGTATGCTGTGTTTGAGTGGGTTATCCATGTTAAAACATGTATGTACCTTGCTAAACAAGTGCAATGATGTTTAACCTAGTCCACCTCACATCTTTTCTTATTAGAGATGAACAACAGTTTCTAAGATACAGAACAGTTGAGGTGCAACTTTCTTGTTGACCTGCATTAAAGCAATGTTTACACAGCAACCCGGGACATCTTGACCTGTGTTTGTGGTGTTCACAGTTAAATGTCTGATCAATCTGTAAAGGTCTATAGTGGATATTTTTACATTTATTATGAATTTTCGGTTATCAATAAATTTATATGATCATGTTGCCTTGTTCTTTGAGTGTGTTAAGTGTCAATGTGTATGTTGTTAAGCATGTGTGAGCAAGTGAATGAATGTGTTTTTAAGCTGCAGACAGCAAAAGAGACTGTACCCGGTGTGTGCTTTAGTCTGAGCCGGAGAAGCTAGTGTCTGATGTCATGAGCATCAATCAAGGCACAGTGTCACACAGTTTCCAAATACTGGCACTCTGGACCCATACCACTTTGCCACCCATTGCCACCATACCTTTGTTTTGAGTCCAGTTTGAAGATAACAATGCTAAATATAGACATCCAATCAAACTAAAGCGCAGATATCACCAGTACTGGACTTTTGCGTTCTGTCTCAGTTTCCTGATATGATTAAAGATATTGAGGACTCGGTTGGACGAGGCTGCAATTTAACTGTAGATGTATGCCAAACTCACTTTGAGAAGAGGCATTGTAATTGGTTGGTGATGTCAGCATGATGAGGGAGAGAAATTCTATACTATGTTAGTGATGAGGGAGAGAAATTCTATACTATGTTAGTGATGAGGGAGAGAAATTCTATACTATGTTAGTGATGAGGGAGAGAAATTCTATAGTATGTTAGTGATGAGGGAGAGAAATTCTATACTATGTTAGTGATGAGGGAGAGAAATTCTATAGTAGGTTAGTGATGAGGGAGAGAAATTCTATAGTAGGTTAGTGATGAGGGAGAGAAATTCTATAGTAGGTTAGTAATAAGGGAGAGAAATTCTATACTATGTTAGTGATGAGGGAGAGAAATTCTATACTATGTTAGTGATGAGGGAGAGAAATTCTATACTATGTTAGTGATGAGGGAGAGAAATTCTATAGTAGGTTAGTGATGAGGGAGAGAAATTCTATACTATGTTAGTGATGAGGGAGATGGCAGTGAGGGCAGTTCTGAAAGGAAGTTATTGTGGTGAGGTCCAGGGTATATATCATAACAGAATGGTGAGATCATTCCCTGGATAACTGAGGATGAGTTAAACTGTAACTTAATCCTCATTACTTTGTTTTAGGACAAGCATGTTGAACTTTTTATTTGTTTGTTTTATTTTTTCGTGCTTTGATGTCGGTGTAAAATCAAGCAGGATCAGATAGTATTTGGATAAACAAAAGAAGCAGGTTTAACATTAAGAAATGGAAAGTTCTATCACACAGAGAAGTAGGTGTTACAGTAGAGTCTGTGATATTATACTGGCGTTGCATTTATCATGTTTTTACATTTAGCAATGTACAAGAACAGCTTTGTTTCAAACTATTCAAATATTTTGATTGAAAGTAAGCTAATCAATGCAAATTATGATCTCTATTCCAGAATGACTTCCAGTATATCTGAGTGCCAGCACAACACCTTGTAATCAATGTTGGCTAAGAAACTGCAGAAGTAATGGCTCCATGCCTATGTGCCTGGGTTATGTAAACTTAGTGTGGTGTATTTTCTTGGGGTATTTTCAGTTAGATATCTGTTCCGGAACTGTTTGCCAAACTCGAATGAATCCTCTGAAGTTCCTGTTCAACAGTAGTGTTGAATCTTACATAAACTTGCTTACCTTGATAACTATAGCACTGCTGCCCAATGTACATGCCACTCAAAACACTGGATCCATCTGAGTGTCAGTAGAACTACCGCATTTGTGTTTTGAAACCGGCCAGAAATTCAGAAAGCCATTTCTGTGAGATGAAATAATTGATCTATCATTTGGGTTAAATGAACTCCGTTTTTAAATGCATTTTGATCTGGGTGTGAATAAGGTTTCTTTGTATTATCTTATGAAATGTCTCCTGGCATTACAAGACACAAGAGAGATGGATGCGAAAGCGTGGAGCGGGGGACATAGTATTCACGACCGCCCGTACGTACGTCCCACCTGTTTGTTGCCGCGATATCTCAAGAACTAAACACTGGATTGTCTTCATATTTGGAACTATGGTGTTTATACAGACTCCGCAGACACGAGTCGGTTTTGGTGACCTTGACCCCATTTTCAAGGTCACAGCAGGCAAATCTGCTTTTGGAGTTGGAAAACGGTGTTGCCGCAATATCTCAAGAACTAATTGCTGGATATTTCATATTCTTCATATTTGGAACTATGGTGTATATACAGACACCAGTCGGTTTTGGTGACCTTGACCCCCATTTTCAAGGTCACAGCAGGCAAATCTGCTTTTGGAGTTGGAAAACGGTGTTGCCGCAATATCTCAAGAACTAATTGCTGGATATTTCATATTCTTCATATTTGGTACTATGGTGTCTATATATGAGCAGCCATGATCCGATTTAATTTGCAGGAATTTGGGTAATTATTTCTAATGGTACGACAAATAGTTCCATGGAGGTATCTAACACAGAAAATAATATTATTCAAAAGGAATAAAATATTTGGGAATAAAACACATATCGCATAAGGCGGCGGGGGACATTTCGTCACTTTGTGACAAATACTTGTTGTACACATGTTTGCGTGGATGACTGTTGAGGGTTACATGAGTGGCAGCGATAAAACTGGTTTTAGTTTTTAAGATCCGAATCTGAATAGATTGCCAGCTGTTGTAAAACAGTTTGCAACTATCACCCAGTTTGAGATCATCTGGGAGCCGAGGTTTGGTGAAGCAACGTTTTTTTCACTTTTGACTGAAATGCTTTTCTGAATAAATTATCCATTTTCTATGGTAAGCATGTTGCGTTCCGTGTATTGGCTCTCATTAGGATCTCCACATTGATTCTGTACCACGTGTATTGAATTCAAGCAGCTCTTCAGGCGTCGGAGCGGTTGGTTGTTGTCATAAGTCAGTTGGAATGTCCAGATATGATACTCAATTCATTAATTGATGGGTTCATATTCATATCCGTCATCAAGAGACTTGGAGACGCAAACCAATTTACACGAAAATGTAAGACTTGAGAACTCTTCTATTTACACATGCAGTGAATAAAATGAACTTTCTTTCTAAACATGATCCAATGATGGTGTCAGTTCTTCATCTGACCGACAGTCAAGTGAGTTATTGTAGGCGCTTGGTTGTCTGTCATATGTCATTAGTGAAGTAACATGTTGATTGTCTCTTAAACATTTTTCAGCAGACTGGATTTATGAAGAGCCTCAAAATGGAATGTTTACTGTTTGTGAAGCAAGGGGGCACAATAGCATGACTTACAAAATGTAAATGTCCTTCAGTGTGGGATCTGAGTTTACTGCTGTGTAGGGCAACATTGTTATGCAATTTTGCATTGTACATTCACTGTAGCAGATTAAGAAAAATTGTTGAAAATTGATATCGTCAAATGTTGTGAAGTGGCTGTCTTAGCCTAGGTGAGCTACAGAGCCATGGCTCTAATTTATATGTCTACATGTATAGATAGATGGCCAGGTGAAATGATGGACAGAGATACTATGGTGAATCCTTACAGCATAACACAGTGCTCATGGCAGTGATTCTGTAAAGCAATTCACCATGATTATCATCCATTCAGCAAGTGACACATTGACTGACTAGTACATATATCTGTTGCCTAGCAGCAAGCGACACATTGACTGACAAGTACATGTATCTGTTGCCTAGCAGCAAGTGACACATTGACTGACTAGTACATGTATCTGTTGCCTGGCAGCAAGTGTCACATTGACTGACAATTACATGTATCTGTTGCTTAGCAGCAAGTGACACATTGACTGACAAGTTCATGTATCTGTTGCCTAGCAGCAAGTGACACATTGACTGACAAGTACATGTATCCGTTGCCTGGCAGCAAGTGACACATTGACTGACAATTACATGTATCTGTTGCCTGGCAGCAAGTGACACATTGACTGACAAGTACATGTATCTGTTGCCTGGCAGCAAGTGACATATTGACTGACAAGTACATGTATCTGTTGCCTGGCAGCAAGTGACACATTGACTGACAAGTACATGCATGTATCTGTTGCTTAGCAGCAAGTGACACATTGACTGACAAGTTCATGTATCTGTTGCCTAGCAGCAAGTGACACATTGACTGACAAGTACATGTATCCGTTGCCTGGCAGCAAGTGACACATTGACTGACAATTACATGTATCTGTTGCCTGGCAGCAAGTGACATATTGACTGACAAGTACATGTATCTGTTGCCTGGCAGCAAGTGACATATTGACTGACAAGTACATGTATCTGTTGCCTGGCAGCAAGTGACATATTGACTGACAAGTACATGTATCTGTTGCCTGGCAGCAAGTGTCACATTGACTGACAGTTACATGTATCTGTTGCCTAGCAGCAAGTGACATATTGACTGACAAGTACATGTATCTGTTGCCTGGCAGCAAGTGACATATTGACTGACAAGTACATGTATCTGTTGCCTGGCAGCAAGTGACATATTGACTGACAATTACATGTATCTGTTGCCTGGCAGCAAGTGACATATTGACTGACAAGTACATGTATCTGTTGCCTGGCAGCAAGTGACACATTGACTGACAAGTTCATGTATCTGTTGCCTAGCAGCAAGTGACACATTGACTGACAAGTACATGTATCCATTGCCTGGCAGCAAGTGACACATTGACTGACAATTACATGTATCTGTTGCCTGGCGGGCAAGTGACACATTGACTGACAAGTACATGTATCTGTTGCCTGGCAGCAAGTGACACATTGACTGACAAGTACATGTATCTGTTGCCTGGCAGCAAGTGACATATTGACTGACAAGTACATGTATCTGTTGCCTGGCAGCAAGTGACACATTGACTGACAAGTACATGTATCTGTTGCCTGGCAGCAAGTGACATATTGACTGACAAGTACATGTATCTGTTGCCTGGCAGCAAGTGTCACATTGACTGACAGTTACATGTATCTGTTGCCTAGCAGCAAGTGACATATTGACTGACAAGTACATGTATCTGTTGCCTGGCAGCAAGTGACATATTGACTAACAAGTACATGTATCTGTTGCCTGGCAGCAAGTGACATATTGACTGACAATTACATGTATCTGTTGCCTG